GCTCACTGCAACCTCCACCTCCCTGGTTCAAGTGATTTTCCTGCCTCAGCCTCCCAAGTAGCTGGAATTACAGGTACCCACTACCATGCCCAACTAATTTTTGTATTTTTAGTAGAGACAGGGTTTCACCATGTTGGCCAGGCTAGTCTCGAACTCCTGACCTTGTGGTCCACCCGCCTTGGCCTCCCAAAGTGCTGGGATTACAGGCATGAGCCGCCAGGTCCAGCCTATCTTGTGCCTTCACTAGCCAGTGCTCCTACTAAAAAGGCAAGTTGAAAAAGCCTGTTTTTATAAATAGGAGGAAGTCTACATGCTGATTCAGATGTGCCTATTTCCTGTAGCCTTCCAAAGTCAATGTCTTAATATTTTTTAATCTATTAATAACTAGAATGTGAGACTCATAGGCCATTTTGGAAGAGAGAGGTCATATTGGAAGAGTAAACAATGACAACAAACAATAGAATAAATATTTAGGAACAGATAGACCTCTCCTTTGCCTCTTACACAATCTGTCATCAGTACTTTCCACTACGCCTCACAAAGATCTTTTTGGCACAGCTTCTGTCCCCATTCTTTTCCAGAGCTCTGGTTCTGCTTCATGTTATCTATTGGTGGAATGCTGGCAATGGCCCCAGTGGGGATACCATCCTCCAATCCAATATGCATATTGTCATCAGTCTGATCATCACATTCCTATGGCTACCTAGGTGCCTAAGATTAAGTCTTCAGCAAGGTGTTAAAAACCTGTCACTTTTAAGGAACCACACAACTCTCCAACATCAAACGTGTCCCTAAATCCAGTCCTGTAGCCATAAAGCAAATGTAATTATCACTTTCAATAAAACACTTTACTTATTCACACTGTTTCTTCTGACTGGTGAATTTCTACTCACTCTTCTAGCCCCAATTCTAATACTACCATGTAAGGATACCCTGATTCCCTCCTGATGGGATTGACTATTATTTAGGATGCTTTCATCCTTTTTTTAAGTCTCTGTTAGTAGCACTTGTCAGATTGTTTTGTGTTAATTTTTCACATATCTTCGTGAATCAGTCTATTGGACACTTGAAAACAAACACTAATTTTTTTTTTTTTTTTTTACACGGAGTCTCTCTTGCTGGGACTGGAGTGCAGTGGCACAATCTCGGCTCACTGCAACCTCTGCCTCTTGGGTTTCAGCAATTCTCCTGCCTCAGCCCCCCCGAGTAGCTGGGATTACAGGTGCCCAATACCACGCCCAGCTAATCTTTGTATTTTTATTAGAGATACGGTTTCACCATGTTGGCCAGACTGGTCTCGAACTCCTGACCTCAGGTGATTCACCACCTCGGCCTCTCAAACTGCTGGGATTACAGGCATGAGCCACCACGCCGAGCCACCACGCCCAGCCACAGACACTAATCTTATTCAATTTTATGTCATCAGTGCCAAACACAGGACAGTGATCCATAGTAAATATTGAATAATTTTTTAATAAGCAAGTGAATGTATAAACACACCATATAGGGAGCTAATGTTCTCTTTTTATAGGGCAAGCTTTTCATACAATTATGCGTATTTTGTACTAGAGAAGTTTGCCTGCTTGCCTGCCTGTCTCCATCCTTTCCTTTCCTTCTACCTTCCTTTCTCTCTCCCCAAAACATTAACTGAGCATTCTGCGTTTTAGGTTCTATGTGAGGTGTCAGATGCATTGAGAACACTAAAACATTGCATGCCTCCTAGAAGTGTTCTCGATTTTAATGTGAAGGAAAGCAATAAAATAATAATATAATCTAGGTGCCAGTAGTTTAACAGGAACCTCCTCCATGGTTGTAACTGAACTGTTGAGTTGTCCTCTGCTCTCTAAAGGCCAACTTTTGAGATGAGCTTTGAGAGCAAATGGAGACCTCCTTGATACATTAACGTGTGCAAAAGCCATTGGCAGAACCAGTGTCTCTGTTGTTTTGGAGATTAGTATCTGTTGTTGAGAATAAAAAAGTGCATTGACCTGAGGGTTCAGATGCCTGAGTTCCAATTCTAGCTCTGCTACTAATTAGCTATGTCCTTGATTCAGTGATTCAGTCTATTTTATCTGTAGATTGAGGGTGTTAGTCTAGACTCTAGATCAATGGTTCTCAACTAACAGTTAAATATTAGGATTCAGAAATATGTATACATTAAATTTATATTTAACAGAAATACACATTTATATTTATGGCTAATAAGCATAATTGTCTACTGGACATTATTGGATGACTAGGAAACATAATTTTTTATGTGTGTGTGTGTGTGTGTGTGTATATACATATATATATATATATATATAATTATGTTTCCTAGTCATCCAATATATAAGTATACACACACATACACATACACACAGACACATATATTTGTATACATATACAGTTTCTACCAAAGAGTCACTAAATTAGAATCACCCAGGGGAGGCCAGGCCATACATTTTTAGGAAAAATCTTGCCAGTGATTCTGAGAGACACTGGCCTGAGCTAAGTCTATTCTCTTTGATATCATGATATGTGAGGTCTCTGGGCCTCTAATTCTATGACTGACTGGCAGGCCCCCACCCTCATTGAGCTGTGGAGATGCTCAGCCCACTCCAGTCTTTCTCCTTTAATAAGCTATGAGAACCAGGAACATTGTTTCAAAAAACAATCAGATCAGTAGCTGACATCATAGGTCTTCCTGAAAGAGAGGAAAGAGATGCAGAGCAGAGATAAGACCAAAAAATTCCCCAAATGCACATGGGCTGCCAGTAATCACAGCTAGCCCTGAGGCTATCTCCAGCTTCCTGAACTTTAAGAGGGACCCAGTCATTCTGGTGTCCTGACTCCCATATATTTATTCTCTGACTGAGGCATAAAGATCCGGGTGAGCTAATGCATCAACCGATGAAAAATGAACAATTAAAACAATGAAGTTGTCAGTTCTTTTACCAGATTGCAAATAAATAACCTGCCTGTCAGACTGGCTGCTCTGCTGGACCATTAGTTTAATACAAAGACATTCTGAGGAACGGGTGGATGACAGCTGATCTATCAGCCCAGTGGTTCCAGGCCTTTGATAAAGACCTGAGCAAAAAATGCTGTCATAAACCACAAAAGGTCAATCCCAATTTGTGAAAAGCAAAGTGTTAAATGAAATTTGAATACACCCCTCTGCCCATCATGAAAGCCATAGGCTTCAAAAAAAAAAAAAAAAAAAAACTGGCAGAGTGTTGGATAGTTCTTTTAACAAACCAAAACACTTCTCTTTCTGTGTGGGCTTATTTAGCTTGTTAGGGACACTGTTCTGGTATATATGGCGGTGGAGTTTGTAATTGCCACAATGGAGGGACCGTGATCTTGGACTGCACAATGCATCTTCTTGCCAGGCTGAACAGGGTCTGACTACAGGGTGGTATTCCATGCCATGTCAAATACTAAAACAGTCCTAATTTGACAAAAAGTCAATTCATTGTATTCTCTTATATATACCTTTTCTATATGACATCTCATAAAATATTTGCCAACTAGAAATACTGTTCATGGGCAATAATTAGATAAAGCCATAGATAATTCAATAAGGATGTATTATTTAAGTCTCTAGCTAATATCTCATTTGTCTTTAAATTTGATAGAAAAATAATTACCTTTCGGAAGTCACCTTGAAGAAAATAATTATTATTTCTCAGAAGCATAAAGTCCAATGATAAAATTTACCGTACAGTTTATAACTAGGCGAGGTACGATATTTATGAAGATCAACCAACTTCTTTTTCTAGTTGCCTTTGTCTCAACTTGAATCTTAGCAAAGCTAATCCTCAATTTTTAATGAAAATCAGTGAAATGACTGAGAAATTAACAAATCAAAACAATAAATTTTCCCCTTCCAAATTTTTGGGGGTATTTACCCATATTTAGGTTATATCTTCATAGTCATAATGATTTATGTTTTACCTAAGTCAAAATAGTCACTGTCTATTTATTCTTATTTTTTAGTATATTAATAGATTAATTCACAATAAAACGTGGTGTTATATGGAGAAATACCTTAAATCTATACAGAGGCTATGAGTGGGGCTTTTGTGGTCATTTAGTTGCCCAGAATGATTTTAGCTAGGAAGAAGTATCAGCTACATTACTTCAAACTGGTTTGACCAGCTCTTCTGGGTGGCTAATTAGTAATCAAGATGAACACGAAATTAATGTGAAACTTTTCAGACTGATTTTCCTACCCATCAGCTTAAACCACAACTTTGCCTGTGCTCCGCCTTTGTGATCTCTTCAAGGTTATATAATATTGTACCTCTCACTTCCTAAGAAGAAGCCCTGAGAGCTTGAGGAAAAGCTTCCAGCTCATTCCTGAAAATAACCTGGTTCTGTTCCTGGTTTTGTCACTTATTGGCCAGGTCATTTGTGCAAGTGATTTGGTGTTTGCTTATCATATTATATGCACAATAGCAACTGCTTAAAGAAGACTTCATGCAAAAGACACATGCTGTTATCTTGATAGTGGGGTTCCCTTAAAGTTTTTTAAAAAAAAAACAGGGCAGTAATGTTATATACACCACTAAAGGAGGCAAGCAGTTTCTGCTCTAGAGACTTTTACTGTGATCTAAAGTTAGCCCTTCATTTCTCTAAGTTTTACTTTGGGAAGTCTTTCTGTTTCATTCACAAACCTTCTTTCTTGAAAGCCTCAAGCTGCTTTCAAAATTTTATTGGCTCCTGACCTTATCCCAAGAATCTTAAGTCTTTCTCAATGTGACATTGTATTAAGACTTCTCTTTTGGATCCATTAACTAAATAAAATTTTTAAAATAATTGGTCATAATTTGTCCATGTATTTTTATGTCACATAGTTTTAAAAAATATCATATTTGTATTCATTTCTATAAAGAGTTGTACACCAGGCTACTGTAAAGAACTCTACCCTACATGATAACATGATCTCTAAGAGATGAATCAGGAGCTACTTAAAACAGTTGGTAATACAGAGATCATGGGGCCCCTCAAGATGCCCATGTCCTAATTCCTGGAATATGACTATTTTACCTTACTTATCAAAAGGGAGTTTGCAGATGCGATCAAGTT